TGTATAATGCTACTGTACCTTGATATTGCTGATATTTTAAATCCGGTACTGCATCGCCATTTTCATTAAATATAATGTGCGACTATAAACAATTAAATAATAAAAAAGTGAAACAATAATCTGAATCCTAAATGGGTCAATAAACAATATTTTACTGTAACAATACATTATTGAGTAAAGGATATATGGAGAATCATAATGCACACAGTAAATAATAATCAGTAAATTTAGGATTATTGAATCAGTTTTAAATCTAATCATCGATCTATTCGAATATAAAGTTTAAATAATAAAATTGTTCCATTCTGTGATTTTTCATATATATATATATATATATATATGCTTCTGCGTAATGCCAACGTAAAGTGCTGATTGCAAATTGTCAGAAACTATAAGTAGGGTTTACCGAATTAACAATTCCACTGAAAGGGGTAATCGTACTTTCCTTGAATTTTACAACTACGTGTTATAATGCGCAGTTTTACAACACACAAAAACAAAAAAAATATATAGTCACTAAGCTTCTTCTCTTATACAAAGTGGCTCAAACACCAACCGCGTTTTTTTTAAAACTATTTTAGTGCTGGCTTCTGCAGAAATAATGTTTCATTATGTTTTCAAATTGTGTCAGAGTACCCATAGTCGGAATACAATTTTTGATTTTACCTTTGATAAACACGAATTATCAATGCCAACCTGTTTGCTATGAAATGATATAGACTCAAATTTTTCCAAAAAATGTCAATTTGGTAATATTTTTCAAACATTTGTTTCTAAAAAAAAAATAGTTCGTATTGTATAAAAAAAAACGCGTCAAAGAAATAATTAATCGGCACTTATATCATACAATTAATATATTAAATGAAATCGAACGACCTTAAATATTAATATTATATTTTTATGATGAACTATATTCAGATACACGAGGGTAAGGGTACAATACAAAATCAGAGCAGTCACAGTCAACTATTTTATTAATAATTATTGGTTCAGAATCAAAGCTTTGTAATGTATTTTTAGAACTGAGCACTTTAGGTGAGATTGTTAATACAATAAAGCTTTTGTTGGGCAATCGGCAACGTCACCGTTTTTACTTACCACCACGCCATTAAATGTTACATTGCGAAGGCTTGACAAGATAATATCCGACAGTTCAAAATCGCCGTAAGTGAAATCTTCCAAGCGCTTTGTATCTAGTAAAATCAACGTGAAAATAAAACGCGGAAAATCATTATTTTAATGTATGTATATATAGAGAGAAATTGAAAATTACAAAAAAGTTGATGTAGCATATTGTAACCAACATGTCAGCGATGTTTCAGGGGAAATCAATCGTTGTCAGATGACTACAAGTGAGAAAGCGTATTTTAATATATTTGAGAATAAAATTATACATACCACCAGA